CTCTCTCTTCTCTCATCCAGCACACAAATATTTCATTATTATTATATCATATTATTATCACTATCTATCTATAATTCATTCACTTATATCTTATTACTTACTATACATAATTCTCATTACTTATTACTATTAATACTATAATTACTATATATCTTACCTTAATATTATAATATATCATATTATCACTTAACCTTTCTTTTGCTCTTTCTTCAGCAACACTCTCGGTTCTTGCGATCGGATTATAAACCAGAATGGCAACAGGAAATTGAATGGGGCATTGGGATTCCCTCATCTATATACCTTTCTTCACGATATTGGACATAAAAAAAATTTCTTTCTGCGTATCAGGGAACACTTGTTGTTCACATCCCAACATTTGTACTTTTAGGGTGGATTTCTGTGTTTCTATGAAATGCAAAAAAAAAAAAAAAAAAAAAATTCTGGGAAAATTTAGGTTTATTTTTGTAAGTAGTTTTGCTATTTTGTGATTTTTCATTGATATAGTTTTCATAAGCTTTTTTATTGTTATTGTTAATGTCATTATATTCTTTTCATTATCACTATTGGATTGTTTTGGGTTACATTTCTCACTGTTATCATCATATCATCATCTTATTAATTATCATTAGTATCACTAACATTATCACTTATCATCATCATTATCATCATTATTATTGTCATAATTGTTGTTATTATCGTTTTCATGATTATTATCATGGCTGTTTTATTACCATTATTATCACTACTATTAATCTTATCATCCTTATTTACTACCATCATCATTTATATCATTGTTGTTATTATAGTAGTGATATCATTACTATCATTACTATTATCATAAATCATTATCATAATGCTCATTATAATGAATGTTGTAATCACTGCCATTCTTATTACTATCATCATTTTCATTTATTTTTTGTTATTATGATTATCGAGTGCTATTTGCTTTGTTTTTGTATATAATCCATGTTATATGCATATTTCTCTCTCTCTCTCGTCATCTCTTCTCTCTCTCTCTCTCTCTGTCTCTCTCTCTCTCTCTCTCTCTCTCTCTCTCTCTCTCTCTCTCTTCTCTCTCTCTCTCTCTCTCTCTCTCTCTCTCTCTCTCTCTCTCGATGTAATTACCTGGGAACATTTAACAAACTGAAGTGATTCAATACAGATTAAAGCAGTACGTTTTCCCTAATGATTCATTCAATAAACTCTATTGATCTCACTCATTGATACCTCCAGATGATCAAACCATCAATCTAATCGACTGTAACTCTAAAAAAAAAAAAAAAAAAAAAAAAAAAAAAAAAAAAAAAAAAAAAAAAAAAAAAAAAAAACATAAAAAAAAAAAAAATATATATGTAACTAACATACATCCGACGAACGAGAAAATTAGATAACACGAACACCACACGCAGGATTGTCTGTATCAATCTCTAACCGTTTAATCAGCAGCTGATTGGTCGAATCTAATACGTCTAATGCACTAATTGGATGAATCAGTTTAATCCACGTGATCAGTCGAATGAACTACAGGATGTGGGTTATTATCCTGAACTCTACTTCAGTGACAAAGCACTCTGCGGACACTATGGTAGAAAGACTATAACTATTCTCCATGGTATGATTATCTTAATGTATTCTTGGTGTTGTTGTTATTGTCGTTGTTATTGTTATCATTTGTATTATTCTTTCGTTCATCATCATTGCTGTTATCAAAACTATTCATTAGTATTACTGTTGTTATCATGGTCGTTTTAGATATCGGTATAAACATAGATAAGTAGATATAGATAGAAATATAGATGAAAATGTAGAAAGATAGTGAATTTCGCTATAGAATTAAAAAACAAGCATTTAAGAGGAATGATATACACAGTTTTTCTATATATCACATAACATAGATAGATAGATGAAGAGACAGATCCAGGTACATAGACTGATAAATAGATATATAGATAGACAAGAGGACTATACAGATAGACATATGGATAGATAGAGAAATAGATAGACAGATAGATAGAAGGGTAGATAGACAGATAGACAGACAGATAGATAGACAGATAGATACAAAAATAGGTATACATAGATAGACAGAAAGGTAGAAAGACAGACAAATAGAAAGATGGACAGACAGACAGACAAATTGATAGACAGATAGATAGAAGGGCAGACAGACAGACAGATAGAAAGCTATACAGACAGATATATAGACAGATAGACAGATAGATACCAGAAATAGATAGACAGATAGATAGACAGAAAAGGTAGACAGACAGACAGATAGAAAGATGGACAGACAGACAGACAAATTGTATAGACAGATAAGATAGAAGGGCAGACAGTACAGACAGATTAGAATATACAGACAGATATATAGACAGATAGACAGATAGATACAGAAATAGATAGACAGATAGATAGACAGACAGATAGAAGATGGGACAGACAGACAGACAAATAGATTGACAGAAGGGTACCAGAAACTAGACAGACAGATAGATTAAAAGATAGACAGACACATAGAAGACAGACAGATAGACAGATAGACAGATAGACAGATAGATAGAACAGACAGATAGAAGATAGACAGACGATAGACAGACATATATAAGAGATATCACCAGACAGATAGATAAACAGATAGACAGACAAATAGATAGAAAGATAGACAGACAGATAGATAGACAGATAGACAAAATACAGATAGATAGAAAATAGATAGATAGATAGACAGACAAGAGACAGAAGATAGATAGTACAGATAGACAAATAAATAGAAAGAATGACAGACAGATAGACAGACATATAGCCACAGACACGATTGACAGACAGATAGAATAGGGACAGATAGACCAATATAAGATATAAAGATTAGACAGACAGATAGACAGACAAGAAGACAGATAGATAGATAGACAGATAGAACAGATAGACAGATAAGACATAGACAGATATACAGATAGATAGACAGACAATAGATAGAAAAGATAGACAGTACAATACAGACAGACAATAGACAGTAGAAAAATAGATAGACAGATAGAACAGACATATAGACAGACAGATGGATAGACCAGACAAATAGTATAGAAAGACAAACAAACAGATAGATAGACAGATAGACAAATAGATAGAAAGATAGACAGACAGATATACCCCAGACATGATAGACAGACAGTAGAGACAGCAACAATAGATAGGAAGATAGACAGATAGATAGTAGACAAATAGATAGAAAGATAGAACAGACAATAGGACAAACAAGAAGACAGACAGATAGACAGACAGATAGACAGACAGATAGACAGGACAGACAGGCAGATATAAAGAATAGATAGAAAGATAAACACGACAGATAGACACACACAGATAGACAGATACACAGAAGGGTACAAAACAAGAAGACAGACAGATAGATAGACAGATTAGACAGACAACCAGATAGACAGATAGATAGACAGATAGACAGATACACAGAAGGGTACAAAGGACAAAGACAGACAGATAGATAGTACAGATAGACAGACAGACAAGACAGACAGATAAGAAAACAGACACATAGACAAACAGATAGATAGAAAGATAGATAGACAGACAGACATGCACAGACAGACAGACATAGACAGACAGACATAGACAGACAGACAAGTCCACGCATTCTTCCCAAAGCCCGAGCAACTTTTCCCGAGGAGAGTCGGAAACTTACAAAAGACACGAATCAACTATTTTCTTTCGCCTTTTCCCGTGATTGTTTGCTCATGTATATATGCAAGGATGCTTACTCTTTCCCCTCGGATGAGCTAAAGAGACTGGGAGCGAGCGAAAAGAACTGAGAAGTGACAACCGCCAAGGAGTTTTGTTTGAGTTCCGTTATGTACTGTGTTGTGTGAGAGGGAGAGGGAGGGAGGGAGGAGGGAGAAGGGAGGGAGAGGGAGAGGGAGAGGGAGAGGGAGAGGAGGGAGGGAGGGAGAGGAGAGGGAGGAGAAGGGCAGAGGGAGGGGGGAGGGAGAGGGAGAGGGAGGGAGGGAGGGAGGAGAGGGGAGGGAGGGGAGAGGGAGAGCGGAGGGCTGACCCGGTCCTCGATGAGGCGAGATGGAGGTTGACGGAGAGGCGGAGAGGCGAGGAAGGGAGCTCGGGCAGAGAGGGGAGGGAGTGGGAGNAGAGAGAGAGAGAGAGAGAGAGAGAGAGAGAGAGAGAGAGAGAGAGAGAGAGAGAGAGAGAGAGAGAGAGAGAGAGAGAGAGAGAGAGAGAGAGAGATAGATAGATAGATAGATAGATAGATAGATAGATAGATAGATAGATAGATAGACAGACAGACAGACAGACAGACAGATAGATAGATAGATAGATAGATTGATACATACGTACATAGATATATTTATGTATGTATATGTGTATTATATATTTACGTATTTATTTATCTATTGATCGTTTATTGAGAATCCTATTTTTTTCAGGTGCTTCTCGACAATGAGGCTTTCACAAATTTGGAGAGAGCGACCGTCGGAATAGAATCAGTCCCGGCTGGCTCTCCCTACTCCCCCGAACTCCTCTCATCACTCTTCTCACTCTCATCCTTGTGTTCACCGGTGCATCCATTTCTCACCACACCGGGCACCCCCTCCATGCCATTCCTCTCGCCCAACGAAGCCTCAGATTCTATTCAGCCGGCCTCCATGGGCTCTCAGCCAGCTAGCCTTGTGCACGAGTCAGTGTCGGCATCACTTAAAAGCTCAGGTCTGCACGTTTTTTGCCTCAAGTAGTATGGGTGTTGCCCCTTCCTCTTCATCTCTTTTGCTTTTGTAAACACCAGTTTCATTATTATTTTTGTTAATGATCTATAACATAGCCTTGGGTTAGTTTTTCGTCCAAGAAAATGAGAATATATGTTTATTACATTTCCCCAAACTGACTTGAAAAGCTTCTCGTGGTCCAGGAAATGGTCAGACGCGCAGGAGATCCAGGAAGAAAGTCACGAGACACATTGACATCGCAGAATCCAGATGAGGAGGAGTGGGACAGTGAGAGTATCCAGGTGGCAGAAAACGACGGGTTTGATCGACTAGGACGCAGCACGTGTCTCTTTTGGATGGTAGGTTCCTTTTCTAGAGACAGGAAGGCCTTGACTTTGTTTATATTTAGAAGTGAGTTCTCTGCTACACTCTGACATCACAAACAAAACTGCAAAGAGTTATTCTTTCATCAGGTGTGCCAGATCCTCCACCTCCAAGCTTGGCCATTGGTCACACTTTCCCACCAGTGAGCGGCGACACAGTTTCCCAAGCTCTCTCCACCCTTACCCTCAAGGCAGAAGTCAGGTAGAGAAAGTAAAAGTTACTTGTCATGGAAAATAGCTGTATGTAAATTATTTGAGACTAAAAGGCAAATTTCATCACATTATAGATATAGAATGCAGATATTAAGAAGTTGGATTTGTGCTCACTGAATTTTTATTTGTAAAGAAATGATGGTATTGATGTGATATTCGTACACAGGTCCACTGCCTCTGAACAGTCTGACAGACTCTTAGAGGAAATTCTCCAATCAAAAACCCAGCCAGGGATTCAAGGTTCTTCCAGCGAGGATGTTCCAGAGTCAAAAGAGAACAGTGGCAAGCTGCCGACGACATCAACAGGCAACCAGGCAAGTTCCACAGAAGGCAAAACATTAGGAGCTGGAGACGCACACGGCAAAGACTGTGTAGATGTGGCATCAAGTCAAGTCACAGGAGAGGAAGAGAATGTTGTCGACGAAAAGAGAGACAACCAGAGCATAGGGTCAGGTCTGGAGTCCAGCTTCTACCGAGGTAGTGCCACTTTCTCAAGGCATTCATCGGAAGATTTGACACCGCCTCATAGTGATAGTGAAGGTGAGAGAACAGAGATGGAAATTAAGTTTTTCTTCCTTTCTTTCTTTAAGTAATTTTAGAGAAACTCCCAATGGTAATTGATTTTGGATCATTAATATAAGAGAAGATATTGACTGAGGAAGTATTCAAGGCAGATCTTTAGTTTTGTTTGTTTGTTTGTTTCATGAAGCTGACTCCACTCCTATCTTAACAGAAGAGTTAATGACAAATCATATTGTTTTTGAATGATGAAATTAGACTATATTCTAATCTTGCTTGTCTTCAATATATTTTGTAAAACAGATGAGAAAGATGATGTCCAGTTGATCCTGGCAAAAAGGGAGATGGAAACGTCAGAAGAAGGGAAACCAGCAAATGCCCCAGCAGATACTAACAATGAAGGAGACACAGAGGACAGTGGAAAGGAGGAGGATTCTTCCCTACAAGATGTCATCCTGGCCATC